TAGATTCACCATCACGGCTATAAGGCATCAGCTGCAATGAAAATTGTATGTGCCAGAAAAAAAGTAACAGCAATTTTGTTAGATCCTTGGAAAAATATGAGTAGGAAAACATGTGGACAAAATGTTTAGATAAAAATTAAAATACTTATTAAACGAACACGTTTTCTACTATTAATTACAGGAACAGAGATGATGCAACAGCAAACAACATGCTTTAACGTTATTTTTAAGAAATAGAAGTGAAATGATCATAGGCCTAAGAAAGGGATAATAAAGTCAAGATGTTTAGGGATCAAGTACGTTTTAGGGAGGTAGCTCAGTTACAACCTTGGTCAGCAATTAACTTTACTAGAGGAGCTGGGTGATCAAGTTCCTTTGGAAATATACCAAAACATACATTTTAGTGTATGTTTTGGTGTACAAAAACATTTCTCCAGCTCATATATTCATGGCAGGATCAGATGCATGAAAGGCTACAGATAATTATTTAATTGTCACAAACCAGCAGGCAAACACCAAAGCTACTATCTTAACTGACCATCTTGATATAAGATCCAACCAGGTACAAGTAGAATTTGAAATGCAATGTATTTGGAAGACATTGGACTGGAGAATGCTGCATCTATAAACTCTCACATTTTCGAGGTTAACTACTTGGGGAGAAATAAAAAACTAAAATTATAGTGGATTTAAATATGACTACATATATTAAACAAATAGCATTTCTTACGTAATATTCCTTGGTCTTTAAATGAATGCCAAGCCTTTGATGTTGATGTTGGCTTGCATCCATCTATCCTAAGTGTTTTAACTGCATTCTTAAAACATGTTGTGTAGGACTGCAGCCAAGGTTTTTAAAAAAATCCATCAATCCAACCAAGCAACCTGGATTTTTAAACTTTGTAACAGCAAACCAATTCCTTGTGATTTTTCCCCTTTGAGTCCAATTATGATTATCATCAGTGGAACATTTTAACTTGATGTCTATCAGTGGTGGGATTCAAAAAAAATTACTACCTGTATGATTGTGTGACAGGGGAAGGATTCTGTAAAATCTCCATTCCCTCCCCTTTCTAGGGAAAGGTTACTGCAAAGTCCCCATTTCCTCCCAATCAGCTGGGACTCGGGGTGCAGAGAATAGATGGGGGCAGGGCCATCAGAGATGGTATTTATCGGTTCTCTGAACTACTCAAAATTTCCGCTTCCTATTTTCCAAAACTAAGCTGCTATGTCAAAAGAGTGCTTAGGAACTTGGCCAATTCTAGATCTTCACCAACACATTAGATAGCAGGGGGGGAGGGGGGGAGGAAACTTGAGGAAAGACAAAGAGGGAGGGAGGGAGGAGCTTTGTTTTGTCATATTTGATTAATTATTTGTACAATAGTGACAAGACAAATGTTACTGGTTTCTCAAAATGAAGTTCTTTCCTAGACTGAAAACTAAATTGAAATCAGTTATGTTGAATAGAATATGTCCTTAGTTCATTACAGTTCAAATCTAAATATGGAAGTTATTTTGCTATCTGAAAATCATTCTCTTTTGTGTTGTTGTTATAATAGCCTTCATTTCTCTCTCTCCAGTAAGTCTATTTGATAGTATTTTTTTGTTCTTTCTCCCCTTCATATGCATTTTACATAATACCCACCCTGAAGAAGGAAAACATGAATTCTTTATTCATGACTGGAATGGGATATTTTGATTGCTCATAATAAAGGTATTACATTTCTGTCGGGTTTGTATTTTACTTCCACTGTTGAGTTAAATATTTCCTGCTTTCTATACATACTATACAATTACAACTGAGTTAATTATGGCTAATTTGCATTTTTTTTCAATGTGCATAAAATATCACAATTGCAGTCTCCCTAGCACACAGCAAGAATTACGTTGAAATTGTACTGTACTAAAAATGCTAGTAGACATTATCATTTGCAGATCTGTTATTTGTTTGTTTATTGTGTTTATATGTCCCCTCATCTCACAAGAAGAGACACGGGTCAGCATACAATAATCAATAAAACAACAAATATATATTAAAAACTATTATAAATATACAAATGTCATTAGACAAATTTTAAAATACACAAACCACCAGAGAGGGAGTTAAAGATCAACCACAAAGAGCCAATAAGAATGCCTCAAGTTCCCTGGGACCTCCAGGTCTGGTGATTTAACCAGGTCTTGAGGGAATTCTGTAATGAAAACAGGGATGGAGCTAACCTAACTTGGGAGGAATGTTCCATAGAGTGTCACAGCAGAGACGACTCATCTGCTGGACCCACCAAATATAGGTCCTTGGCAGATGGTAACTGAAACATGCCTTCTCTGCAGATCTAATGGGATAGGTTGGTGAAATCAGGGAGAAATGCTGCTTCAGATAAACCAGTCCACACTATGAACAGCTTTAAAGGTTAAAACCAGCATCTTGAATTGGACCTGAAAGCAGAGTCGCAGCCACTGCAGAGTGTGGAATAGAGATGTAATCTGTGTTCTTCTGAATTAGTTGAATCACCAGATAGTCTTCAAGGGCAACTCCATGTAGACGGTATTGCAGTAGTGCAATCTGGATGTGACAGGGGATGAGTGATTGTGAGTAGATCCTGCCAATACTAGAGAGGGAGCAATTGGTGTACAACGTGAAGCTGTGCAAAGCCACAGTTGCCATCTGCTCTTCAAGCAGGGAGTTGCGAGTCAAGGAGAACCCCCACCCCCAGATTGCACATTGAGTCTATCTGGAGTAGTGCCACCCCATCCTGCACTAAAGATATCATAGTTCTAGAACTAATACCCTGTTTCTCTGAAAATAAGACCTCCCTAGATAATAAGCCCAATTGGGCTTTTGAGCACATGCACTAAAATAAGCCCTCCCCAAAAAATAAGCCCTCCCCAAAAATATTGCAACACAGCAGAAGCCATGAGGTGACCACACTGACTGCCCCCTGCAGCTCAAAAATAATCAAAAATAAGACCCTGTCTTATTTTCAGGGAAACACGGTATGCCCCACAATACTAAACAGTCTTTCCAAGGTTAAATTGAAGCCCCCCCCCATTCAAACCCTGTGGAACCCCACAACCCACTCATTTAAAGAACAATTAACCACTGTTAAAATCCACTCACATGGCACATACATCCCCAGGCTATTATCATAGGCCAGGAGAGGCAGGATGTAAAGTGCTAGTCCTAAGAACTCACAATTCTAAGGACCATGTCCATTTCCTTGGGTCCAACAGGTTCAAACCTTCTCAAATAACCAGGCAGGATTCTATCCCAGGAATTTCCTCTGGACCTGAAACAAGACCAGAATTCAATTGTAAGCAAATCCTAGTGATTTTGTCTGAAAGATGCTGACAAATTCCTCCACACATTCCTGCAAGACTCCTCCCATTGTTCTGTAAGAAAGAAGAATTCTACATCATAATTATTGAGCAGTAAAGGTAAAGGTTCCTGTTGCACACATGTGCTAGACATTCCCAACTCTAGGGGCGGTGCTCATCTCCTTTTCAAAGCCGAAGAGCCAGAGCTGTCCAAAGACGTCTCCATGGTCATGTGGCCAGCATGACTAAACGCCAAAGTGCATGGAACGCTGTTACCTTCTCACCAATGTGGTCCTTATTTTCTACTTGCATTTTTATATGCTTTCAAACTGCTAGGTTGGCAGAAGCTGGGACAAGTAACAGGAGCTCACTCCATTACACAGCACTAGGGATTCGAACCACTGACCTTTCTGATCGACAAGCTCAGCATTTTAGCTACTGAGCTACTGCGTCCCTATTGAGAAGCTAATGTCCCACAATTAACCAATTGTGGNCAGGAAATTTATCCTCAGTTCTAAGTTGCTTCTCTCCTTGGATACTAACTTGGATACCTTGGTTATCCAAGTTAAAAGTTCTAAAAATAAGAACTTCTCTTATAATATTTATGATAATAATCTTTATATCTCCAAAGCAACATGTCCTTTAATTAATCCATCAAATGATGATGTTACCTAATTGGGGTAATGAAATATCCGCAAGAAAACAACCAAACCCAGAGAGCACCAAGGGCCCCTCATTTCAACCCTGAACTATAAATATTCTTCTTTATTGGTACTATATCACACTATAGGACAAAAAAAAGGCTTGAATGTTTAAACTCGTGATGGCTATATGAATATAGGCATGCATTTAGGGCAGAGTAGAGGTGATTTTTCAGTGTTTCCTTTTGAGATATAATCTGATCCAATAGCTTAGCCTGAAGGCCAAGTGCTCCCTGGTGTTTTCCCATCCAAGTGCTAATTGGAACTGGCCTTGTTTAATTTCCAAGCCCAGACAACCAGATGTTGCCACCAGATTATTTTTATTTAATAAATTCCTGTATACAAATTAGCAAGGAAAAGGAAAGGAAGTAAGTCTAAAGATTTTCCCAACCTGGAGTCTGCCAGATATGCTGGATTCCATATCCCATCATTTACATATAGAACACAGCTGGTTGAAGATAAAGGGAATTTTAGGTCACTAGAAAGCATCAGGGTGGGCAAGGTTGTTTTTAAACAGTTTTAAAGCATAAGGCAGCTTTTCCCAATGTTTCCAGATGTCTTGGATGACAACACCCACTAAGCTTCAGTATGTGTTAAATATGCCCTGAAGATGTTGATTGATTCTGTGACATACTTTATACACTCTAGCTGCCCCCTTGATAATCACAGCACTATGTTATTGAATTACTTTTATCAATTTCTTCCCATCCTTCCTCTCTCCACCTTCATGGTCAGAAGAGGAATTTACATTATAGGACTTTAGAGTATGGTATGGGACATGTTTTGACCCTTATTGGGAGGTGGGGGTTGTACTGTATAGGAGTACAGGAATCCTGTGGTGACCAGGAACTAACGCATTTCTGGAGTACAATAACATTTCCATTGTATCATTTAATCTTAACCTGGGTAGGGATGATTTTATATACTGTTGTCAATAGTCTTAGTCCTCTTTCACAGCATTTCAATTCTTCTTCTCCCCTTCAGGGCGTCCTCTTGCTATTTTTCAAAGCAATTTGACCTACTTAATTCCAGGTAGCACCATGGAGGTTTATGTTAAACGATCTGCATTTTCAAGAGGAAGCCTTTGATTGAGATGCTGGAGACAACTTGGCATTGTTACTGGGACTGATGCGATCAACACCAATGGATTACATTATTTCTGCTGTGAAGCCATTATCTACATTTTATGTAGATAATGTATTATTTACATTTTATGTGAACAACTATTTCAATAATCACATCTCTTTATTTAAGAACTTATCCAACCCAGGGGCATTTTCTAAGCTGTTTCATACTTACAACTATGCAAGTCTTAATTTCAGCCACCACTCGGATTGGATGAATCGGCTTTATATATATTAAATCTTATGTTTCTAATTTTTTATATGTTTTAAAAAAGAAAAAGCACATAAGCATTTATTTTTGTATGGAATTGTCCTTCAGGGACACATTAATATAAGTTTTCTTTAATATATGCATTTTTATAGACACAATTTCCCTTAATATAGACATTATACATTGTTTTATAACTAAGAAATGTGCTATTGAGAAGAAACCCGATTAATCTGTGTATTATAATTTATTAAATGTATGCCACCCATCTTCCAATGACTGGACAGCTGTTAGTCCAGGAAGTACAAATTAATGTCGATATGTGCTTGACATTCTTACTGTACAGTTTGGGGAAGATATTTGTTTCTGGATGTAATATGTTTTTTTAATATTTATTTTTTCTTCCATTCAATTGTGTCCAACTCTCAGAGACTCGCTGGACAAGTCCCTGCAGTTTTCTTGGCAAAGTTTTTCAGAAGTGATCTGTTATTACCTCCTTCCTAGGGCTGAGAGAATGACTGGCCCAAGGTAATCCAGCTAGCTGTGTGCCTGAGGCGGGAATAAAATTCCTGGTTCCTAACCTGGTGCCTTAACCATTATATCAAACTGGCTGCTTTTGTAATGTTTAAGTTTATTAGATATGGTTGAGCCACGTGCAAACGCACACAGAAGGGTTTACGGGTAGATCTTTGAATGAGTGGCAGCTGATTTGCAAACTTCTAAGTAACAATTTATCATTTTCAGCAACATTATTCTGGTACTCAGAACAGGTTCAGGTTTTAATATGTCATTCTAATTGCACCCATTTCCTTCTGTATAAGGAAACACTCTTGACAACTCTCAAGACAGATTTTTTTAAACATCTATAAACCAGAAATCTTTACCTTTTAACAACACTCAGGCAGCAAATTCCTTTGACCACCCCATCCTTACATCTTGCCAGAAGCCAAATTAAAATTTGAATTGTGCTCAGCCTCTTTTATTTCCTTTCTGTCTGGCAGGAATGTTTATCTAATTTAAACTGACCCTGAGGAGAGAGAGAGTTAAACCTTTCATTAAAAGTTCTGATGATACCTTTGAAGGATAAATATTTCCAAATCACTGTTTTCATTTACCCCAATTTCCCTAACAAAAGATATTTTAAGGGACTTTGCATTGATTATTTAAATTTCCAGCATTTATTCTGGCTAAATTAACTTTTTCCAGTTTCAAACCTTAAAGAAATAGCTTGAACCTATTGTTATTGAATAATGCAGCCACAAAAAGAAGAGATGGAGGCATAATTTTATATAATATTTACTTTGATTATTTTAATTCAGTGTGATTAAGTGTGATATGTTTAAAGTTTCATACCAATCTTGGAGGTTGTTCAGTATTACTTTCAGTGAAAGAAATCTTGCTGAGCAAAGTGTTCAATAACATGTATGCATATCTATTGAGATTTTTTAAAAATATATTTTTTTCCCATTGGATTGTTGTCCCTTTAATCTTTTTGTATTTAATAAGTAACATTTTTAAGACAGCATTAAAACTACTTTCAATTGTTAACATGAAAATTCTAGCTTCAAGGAAAAATTAGCTGGTTCATTTATCGTCCTCTCAATTCATAATTTTATTTAATAATGTTCATTAAATGCACCTGATTTTCAATGATTCTGGGCAGCTCATAATAATTATGGAAGTAGAATAAAAAATAAAGATAGGAAGTACAATGAAACGAGGGAGTCTCACACTAGAATGGAATAGAATGGAATGGAATAGAATAGCAGAGTTGGAAGGGACCTTGGAGGTCTTTTAGTCCAACTCTACTCAGGCAAGAAACCCTATACCATTTCAGACAAATGGTTGTCCAATCTCTTCTTAAAAACTTCCATTGTTAGAGAATTCACAAGTTCTGAAGGCAAGTTGTTCCACTGATTAATTATTCTAATTGTCAGGAAATTTCTCCTTAGTTGTAGGTTGCTTCTTTCCTTTACCAAAGGCCTTGATAGAGAGTCAACACTAGAGTGGGGGCCATCCAGATCTTGGTGGGGAGCTTCATGTCAGAGGGCAGGATCTATTACAGATAAGGTGTGCTTCTAGAGTCCTCACAAATAACATTGTCTAATCAAAGCAAGGTGGAGCACACCAACCATAAATTATGGTTCTTGGAAAAAACTGCTACTGAACTTAAATCTATTAACTATTAAGGAAATACAGGTGTACAAGAACGTACCTTTTAACTAAGATGAAAGGTTTAGATGTGATTGATAGGAGCATCAATGGAAATACAGATGTATAGAGCAGTCAGGAAAGATCTCATGCTAAACTACAAGCCCAGTTAGTAAAACATTCATCACAAGCTGCATATAACATAAAGTATGGTTTGTGCATGGGTTCAAGTGTGGCTTACTGCCCAAGTCTGTGCTGAGACTATCTGGGCATCATGGAAGAAAGCTTAGCCTCACAGCAATATTCCCTAAATCACAAGATATTATGATGAGGCAACATGAGTCTAAGATGTAGGCATTTTTGAAAGTTTTCATTTAACTAGCACAGGAGCACTTCTATGTTCACACATATTGAATATAAGAAACCTCTATTGCACAACTGGATCCCAAATCATATCCATTCTAGAACAATGTTTTTAGAAGATCAAAATTCTTAGGTGGTCAACATATTTTCCAGAAATTCTCATATCCTACTATGATATGAAAAATATGTTTTTCCAGTTGATTAAGGGTAAGACTGAGGCACTGATTGATTTAAGAGGCAAATTATTACACGGCAGAAGTTCTAAATCTCTGCTCCTCCTACTGCTTTTTCATGGGTGTGGAATAAACAAAACAACCTCTTCCAGGCATGGGAAAAGTATCTTGAAGAAGACATACTGAAGGATAAAAAGGGTTCAGAAGCAAAAGAAACAAGTCCTCACAGTTCCTATAATAATGCTGCTTGCTCTTACACAAAGTACCAGTAAAATTTAAATAACTGCAGCATCCTTCAGCTGCGTTTTACTGGGTGGTGTGTGTATGCTGTTACACATGCTTGCTATTGCATTATAATAATTTGGCTCAATTTAATAATACAAGGATGTTCCCACTATAAGCTTGCCTATACCATCCATGTTGACTTGACTTATGATTCTGAAATACAATACAGAAGTTGACATTCTGTGGCAACTCTCTGTACTGTAAGTAATCAGAAGTTTGCACCCATGCAGTATTTGAATAGTTGATGTGTGTTAAGGCCTCATTAACCACAGTTGCACACCCCTTCTTTACCATTATAATGCAACCTTGCTGTGCAAAAGTGTTCAAAAAGCAATTCTTTTTAGAAAAGAAGCCATGAGTACTAATAATATTAAGCAGGAGAATAAAGTTGACAGATCTGGTTTTAATGGCGACCTCTCCAAGTTGAGGTTTGCAATAGAAAAACAGACAGAGAAACAAAAGATTTCTCTTCTGATGCCAGCTGCTTTGGATGAGTAAGAGATAATGGCTTATCTTTCCTACCTTTGGACCTTGGAAGATAAAATCAGCAATATATCCTCAATATAGGAGGTCAGCCAAACACTATATGGGGAATACTCACCTATTATCTTGAATGCTTTCAGCAACTTAGTTCCCATGAAAATTGCCTGCAATTATAAAAGCACCAGGCACTCTATAATACTTTCAGATAGTAAACATTTCACATTTCTTCTAAATTTATCTTTGTCGTGTCCATTTTAAAATATAAAATGATACAGGTAGTTTTCAACTTACGACCACAATTGAGCCCAACACTACTGTTGTTAAGGGAAACAGGTGTGATTTTTGCCCTATTTTATGAGCTTTCTTGCCACATTTGTTAAGTGAATCACCTCAGTTGTTAAGTCAGTAACATAGTTGTTAAGTGACTCTGGCTTCTGCATTGACTGCTTGTCCCACAAACACTGCTTCTTTATCTTGGATCTTTGATATGAATTCATGATCTTTAATGAATTTGGACATTCTCTTCAAATATCTGCTCAGTCCTAAACTTTTCAAGGATTCAGATAGCAGCCAAAGAAAGTCCCTCTGTGGGGTCTGAGTCCATTTCCAGGTGTAAGAATTGAATTATTGAATTTGGAGCAGCTATAAAATTTATGCTAACTGAGCCATTGTTTCCAAGCAGCTAATTGGATAGTTATGTCATTGGCTGGAAATATCTGATGGGTTTGCAAAAACTTCATGATTGCCAATTTGCAACAAGAGACCCCCCCCAAGTCACATCTATGGGCTGGGTTGCTGTACAAATTGAATAAATACATAAACAAATCTTTCTATAAACTATAGAATCACAGTAGATTGCCAAGTGGATTCTCCGATTTAAAGAAGGGAAGAAAATGCTTTATGTTAAAAGTAGGTGCTTGTTTGAACCATGTTTGCATTCAGAGATATTGTTCAGAGATATTTTCCTACCAATCCACTGTTATTAGGGTGCTTTGTTGAGGATGCCCCTAAGGAAACTTGAAGCACCATTTTTTTCAAGTATTGGTGCCCATAAACTGAGCATAAAATAATAGCTATATCTAGTAATATTCAGAATATAATGGCTTTGCGCCTGAAAACAGTACAGAACAGACTGTGACTAGAGTCATTTTGAATTTGTCATAAGAAATTATTCATTCCCCTTTTTAAAGATGTCAAGATGGAGGTCATCACCCATCTGACGTATTTGACTTCAGAAAAACCCCTAGTAGTAAAAAAGAGAAAATCTTTCTACAACTACTCTTTCCCTACCATACATAATCTACACATTTAAGTTCTTTGCTCTCAAGTTGTCTTTCTTCCTCCTAAACTAAACAAGTCTCGAGATATAACTTTCTCTTAAAGTCAAATTGCCCTGTCTTTGTCTTTTTATCATTGTAGTAACTCTTCTGCAGCTTTATAAGGTCATATTGAGGTGTCATCGTGATAGAAATATTCCAGATAAAGACTGTTTCATCTGTTTCTATAAAGGGATTATGTTGGGGCTCATTCTGAGATGAGGAATATCAATAAAATGAATGCTAAAAATGACAGGTGGTAATTTTATTTAAATTTTCTTTTCTAACCCCAGGATAGAATTTGCTTTTAACAAAAGGCCCCCACACTGAGTTAGTATTTACATTCAACTATCCATCACAGCCCTTATATTGTCTTTTCAGGCCCCAGGAGCTCAGATCTCATCAACATATATATACACAGTATGAAGATGTATTTTCTCTCCATGTGCATTACTTTACTTTTCTTCTCTTGCTTATACTGAATGACATTTGCTATTTTAATGCACATTCTCCTATTTTTAAGAATTCCTTTCAGAGTTCCTGGCTTTCACATTTCATTTTAACCATTCAAATAGTGTCGACAACCACCACACTACGCATCTAATAGAAATCTCACTTTATTTCTGGAATTATATGTTGCTTAAAGCCATAATATCCAGGGTGTCTGAGGAATTGTC